GAGAGAGAGAGAGAGAGAGAGAGAGAGAGAGAGAGAGAGAGAGAGAGAGAGAGAGAGAGGCCATATGTCATCGCTTCAATGAAGATCGACTCGATGATCAATTGCGATCTGTTTTTTTTTTATCGTGAAAGAAGGGGAAAAAGGCACAGGTGGGAAGGTGGAAGTTGGGATAGGGGGGGGGGGGGGGGGGGGGGGGGAAGAAGGACAAAGATGAGCAGAAAGAGGAAGAAGAAAGGAGCAGGGGGCGGAGGAGGAGGCTCCTGAGGGGAAGCGGGTGGAGGAGCGGATAAGAAGGACAGAGATCCAAAGAGAAAGGAGGAGGAGGTAGAGGAGGAGAAAGGTTCGTCATAGCTTTCTGCTCTTCCTCCATCCTAGCCCCCTGGTCCTCAATCTTCCTCCAGCCACCCATTGATTGCTCTTTCTCCCTCCAGCGTACCTTTCCCCTCTTCTTTCTGGATGACGTCCTTTGTCATAGCCACATCAGGCAGGGATTGGATGAGCGGGATGTGATCGAGATCGGGTCGGAAGGGACTCGTGTCGATTGACAGGATGCGGATATGGGTCGGGATTGGGTGGGGATTGGGTGGGGGTGAGATGTTATCATGGGTTGGATCCAGAGGGATTGGATGGGATCGGGTCAGGATTGGGTTAAGGGTCCCCTGACCCCGCTCCTCCATCTCTCTCATCTGGTCCTCGCCGGCATCGTCAGCGCGTGCAGCGCTGAACATAAGAAGAAATGAACTCCTCGTCTTCCTCTCCTCCCTTTCCTCCCCTCTTCCTCCTCCTCCTCCTCCTCCTCCTTGTCCCCCTCATCCAGCTTACCTTCCTCCTCCTCCTCCTCGCTCTTTTTCGTAGCCATATTGGCCTAGCAGACCACGTCCCTCTCTTGCCATTCTCTCCCTCCACCATAGTTCTGTGTTCTAGACGTTTGCATCCAGAACGCTGCCATCCATCGCTTCACACCTCGAAGACCATCCTCCCTCCTCACCTGCCTCACTCTTCTCCTGACATGTTATGCTTCACACCGCGATCACTAACATACGATGTCCCTCTCTGAGATATACTCAAACAGAGTGATCACCCGTCTCCCTCCACCACGATCGCTAACATGCCGTGTCTCGCGTCGTTCTCTCCCTCCATCCATGCGCCGCTTCCATGCGTGTCACCACTACTCTACATGTCGCATGCAGCAAGCTTCCATCCACCACTTGGGATCACGATCACAGTGACCTTGGCACACCACCTCCCTCGCTCTGGTTCCATTTGCCAGTTTGGCTTCACGCAGATTGGCACGCCGCTCCAGTCTATTGACCCACCCTGGAGTCCCCCACATATTTCTGCCCCTGGTACGGACTGCGCCCGAACGGAAAAGCAGCGTCCAAAGAATCTACATGCCGCGCCACCGTCCCAACCTGCCGAAATGGAAAAGCCGCGCCCAAAGATCCTAGGCGTCGTGCGTTTTTTGGCTGTGGCCCTTCTTTGGGCCGGCTCTTGTCCCGCCTGTTTTCCCAACACGGCCAGCCAGGCCTCGCGGGAGTGTTACTCGAGACCCGGGTTTCCCTATATAAAGAGTATAGATATAGATATAGAAGAAACGAACAGCTCCATACAGAGCGGAGCAAAGAATACGGAGATGTTCACACCGGTTCCATGCACAATCAGAACGAACTCTGAGAAAAACTCAGTCCTCGACCGTCAGGTGATGGTTTTGCCTTGCACTCACCTTTCAAATGCTCTTGTATCAGCCTCCTCTTTGGAAAGATGCATGCTCTCTCTCTCTCTCTCTCTCTCTCTCTCTCTCTCTCTCTCTCTCTCTCTCTCTCTCTC